AAACTATGGTCATACACAATAATGCGCAAGAAAATTGCAATACAGTTAATCCCATAAAATTTCTGAGAACAGAGACCTGTAATGTACATTGCACATAAAACTTTTTTAAGTAGTCTCTATGTACTTGGCTTCCAGATAAAACGTCAGGAAAAAGGAAGAATGATGAAAGTGACCCTGCAGCTAAGAGAGCCAAAGAAGCTTCTGTTGAACCACCATTTTTCAATATAAGAACTCCCATTTTGTTTTATCCTGTAAATATGGCACAAATTGAACCACAGGGACATCCCGCAACATCAACAATGACAATGATGCAAAATCATATCAGCTTACAAAAGTTTTATGTAGACCAGTCTTCTAGAGCAACGGGCTTTCCGAAAAATTCCACTCCAGTCACACATACCAGAACAAGCAGCACTTTTGTTCCAGGCCAACAGACACAAGCTTCAGGGGGCACTTTACCATCAACCCCCACTCCAGTTTCTATGCTATCTTCTCCTCACCTAGTTAATTGGCAAACCTCAGCTGTTGGAAAAGATATCTTTGATTCATCACAGCTTGGCAACAGAATTCCAGTTAGAAATCTACCAGAACTTAGACAACAGACTCAGACAGGATTAGATCAGTATGTTTTGCAAAACAAAAGTAGTTTGCTTCTAGGAACATCTCAGAGTGCTGGTAGTAGCATAGCAAGTAGATGTGCGGGCACCAGTTTACATTCAGCCACCCAACAAAGAAGAGAAGATCAGGAACAATCTTACAAACCTGAAGTAGTCCCAGAGGTACAATTAAAAATGATCATTGTAGTTGATGAGAATTGTCTATGTGTATGGATAACGGGCTGAATAGCTAACTGCATGTTAGGATGCTTTGATTTCAGCTCATGTATTATTATAATCCCTTAAGCTGGGTTGAAATTCTGCTTTGATTATTATATATTAAAATATATGTTACATGTGTATGCTTTTAAATTGCTTGCTTGCTTGCAAGCTGCATTTGGCTAGCTGGGATTCCTAGTAATAAAAATAATTTCTCTTAACTTATGTACACAATGAAGTTTTACTGAGTTTAAATGGTGCAAACTTTCCCACCAATCTATGGTCAATTTTTCTTGGTTCTAAAAAGGTAATTTTATGTTGATTATCTACTGAGTGTAGATAGTTTTATAAGGAATGGCAATTATTTATATTGAATCCACACTGTTAAAGAATTAAAGATTGTTTTACAATGCCATTGTCATATTTTAATCTGATG